TTACAGTATTTTTTTTGAGGATGAGGTTATATGGCAGGAAGGAGAATGTGTCTTACACATAGTGATATATTTGTGAAATTCATCTTTAACAGACATTTTATATAGAATATACCCCTATTAATTTCTCAGTATAACAATAATCTTATATAATAAAAGCCCAGCGATCATAATGCCAGAACAACCACTCGACCAGTACTATGAGGTACACTGACCACCTCTCCCCAGCCAGCAGGCTCCTATCACCGGATGGCAAACGGGAAACCTGGGTGGGTGGCGGGGGATGCGGGCGGCACCAGGCCAAGGCCCCCGCTCCACTGGTTGCCCCACACACAGGCCGACCTGCGGCGGGGGTCTGGCCAGTGAGAAGGCAGGACTGGCCGACCTATTGGTCCCTCCCCACTGGCCATCAGGCTCCCATCGCCCAGTGGCATACTGGGAACCCGGGTGGGTGGCGGCGGAGGGCGGGGCCAGCTGCCAGCAGCTGGGGAAGATGACCCTGATCGCAGGCTAGGCCTAGGGACCATACCCGCGCATGATTTCGTGCGCCGGGCCTCTAGTAGGTAAAATAATAGCTTTTGGATAACACAGAACTCAGTTCTTTATAATAAGCAAAGTGTAAAATCACATTTATAAAGTGACTCATCAGGATTTATTAGTATCTAAATTAAATAACAAGTAGAGTGAGTTTATTCCATGGTGAGAGCACATCTACCTAATAAAATGTCTATATCACATTTTGAAAACTTTTAGTATATTTTTGCTGCTGGATATTTTAAACTTTTTTCTAGAATTAAATCTGCCTCTAGAATTAATATAGAATTAAATGATGTCACAGTTTGGATATAGTAATTAGTATTACATTCAGGCTTTTTCTATTTTTGTTTAGGATAATCATAGCTAAAAATGTCCTTAAATTTCAACATTAAATCCCTCTGGACATTAAATTATTTTGTTGAGAGTATTTACTTCATTGATTTTATGGAAAATCCTGAAGCCTTTTTTAAATATAATTTTTTATTTTATAATGTCTTTGATAAAAGCAGTTTTAAAACAGTAGTGTGGTGCTAAGATATAATATTCCAGAAGGTCATTTATTTCAGTGTGACCGTCTGAGTATAATGTAGGAATTTAGTTTGATTTTTAAATACTTTAAATTATTATATGCTTAGGAAAGGGATATACTGACTGGAAATTTACACAGTTTTAAATTGTATTGATTTGAGGTTTCTGCTTTTCTAAATTTAAAAAACTTATAATCCAATTCCAAGTTTTTCATCTATACCTTACTTAGGATAAGACCTCCCTTTTTATACATGGGCTCTGAAAGATACCATTTTAGGATATAGTGATCCTTTTTAGTATTGTTTTATTTGATAAGAAATTGAAATGGGAATAAATTAAAATTTTAACTTATATGATTAGGAAATAAATTTTAATTTCATTTTAGGATACCTGATTGTGCATTGGATAATATATTATTTTGAAATATTTGATGCTTTAAAGTAGCTAATTGGATGTGTTATCTTTCTATTCTTGGTTATTTTGTTTTTTAGAAATAAATGATACTTTCAGGTTATCGTATGTATAATCAGAATTTTGTGAACATTGGATTGTGTTTTAAATACCTTAGGCTAAGACAGTGTGATTTTTCTTTGCAGGGTTTCATTGATACATCTTTTACTGAAATGCATATAAATCATTCATTTAAAATGATTGTTAGGATAATTTGTACTTAAGTATACATTTCTGTAAGTCCAAAATCATAAGCTTTGCATTTGATTTTCTTTTAGCTTAAGAAACAGTTGGGTGATAATGAAGCTGTTACTCAAGAAATAGTTGGTTGTGCCCATTTGGAGAATTATGCTTTGAAAATGTTTTTGTATGCAGATAATGAAGATCGGGCTGCACGATTTCACAAGTAAGTAAAGAAAGAGGAAAATAAAAATGATAAGTTTAGTTACTCTAAACCAGAATAATCCAATTTTGCATTAAACACTTTCTGATTTCCTGATTAATGATTTAAATATTTAAAAATTACTTGTAGAATCTAGAATGATTTTGAGTATCAGATGCAATCCCGTCTTTTTAGAGAAAATGACTAAAAGAAGAACACCCAGGGCAGATTTATTTTCTCAGGAAATATACTCTAACTAGTTCTTTAACAGTGCTGAAAATGTAAGAGTTGATTTTAGACATAAAACAGTCTGGTTCAATGATGCTGATTTTAAAAACTCCCATTCCACTAATTCAAATGGTTTGTCATTATTATAATAATAAGATTTAAATGCAAAAAAAATGCACATGGCTTGATATGCTTTTAGATAGTACTGTAATTACATTATTCAAGATCAAGTGTATACTATAAAACCTTACTGTACCATATTTACGTGTAGTATTAGTGTTGTTTCTTTCTCCTGATAACTTTATAAGAGGAGTTCCAATGTGTTCCTAAAATCTGATTTTATTTAAAATAATTTCAGAATGCTTTTATAAACATTGGAATTTTTTTATAGCTACATAACTAATTCTACATCATTATGTTTTTCCTTTAAACTAGACCAGTTCTCTTTTCTCTTCCAGAAACATGATCAAGTCCTTCTATACAGCAAGTCTTTTAATAGATGTCATAACTGTGTTTGGAGAACTTACTGATGAAGTGAGTATATAGTTTTTATTGTCTTAATAGCTAAAGGTCAGTATTGTTGCTGTTTACCAGTTTTATTATGACAGTGTTTACTTAGAGCAGCATGTTCATAAGAAATGTAATGTAAGAAAATTTTTAATTTTAATTTACTACACTTTTTAAAGTATAAACAAGATAAAATTATTTTTAATATATTTTTGTAGGAAGTTCTTTAAATTTAGTATTGGGCAGCACAGGTTTTGAGTTTGATTTTATTAAGGATTTAAATACTACTAATCCTGTATGCTGTTAAGTTTCTTCACTGTTATTTGTAAACAGAGGCAGAAACTTTTTAAGGTCTTTTCCTATTTCATTTCTACTCAAATATTGTTTATGACTTGTTTCTATTGTAAAATACATTTAGAACATGATGTTTTACAAAGTACTTCATATTTATTAGGTTCTCATAATCACTATGAGATAGAGTGCATATTCATTTTATACATGAGTAAATTGAGGCTAAGTGACAACCATTGCTGTGAATTCAGTGTTGTTTTACTGTCACAAGAAAATTTGTCTTCTAAGAGGGGGATATTAATCTAGAAAGAGATAGGGTGAAAACAAAAAAAAAAAGGAAAGCCATAATGAGACTGATAAAGGCTTCTTATACTGGTGATTTGATATCTATGAAGAACATTGCTTTCTGAAAACGATTTTTTCGAAGTGATGAGCAGATAGTAAAGTTCCAAACAAAATAAAGTATAATCTATGAGATATTTGCATTTTTATAAAACAATATATCAAAACTGTGCAAAAATTTTTTTATGTTTGTATGTAAAAAAAATCAGGTTCTAGAGTTGATGATTATAAGCTGAGTTTTTGCTTTGGCAGAGTTATGCAGGACATTTCAAAGTTGTGCTGAACATGAGACAATTTATTATGTGATTTCCTTTTATTTCAAAACACCAAGCATTCCTGGCCCTTGCCTACACAGCATTCCCCAGTAATTCAGATAACACCTTCTAATGCAGGGGTCCTCAAACTACGGCCACATGCAAATACAAATATTGTTTTTGTTCCCATTTTGTTTTTATACTTCAAAATAAGATATGTGCAGTTTTCATAGGAATTTGTTCATAGTTTTTTTTTTAACTATAGTCCCTCCAACCGTCTGAGGGACAGTGAACTGGCCCCCTGTTTAAAAAGTTCGAGGACCCCTGTTAACGTATGGGACAGTGCCCATTGAGAGCCACTGCTGTCCAGTTTTCATGAGACAGAGTAGTATAAGGGGAAACTGAAACCTGGAGTGTGGAAACCTGAAATGCTTCTCAATGGGTGGCACATTTTATATTCTGAAGGCCCAGTATGTCCACTCTGTTTAACTCCCTTTCTACTCCCGTTTCCTATTCCTGACCTGGATTTCTTTCCCCCTCTGTTGTACTAGTATGTGGCACAATACTAGAAAATCAAAGAAACTATGGGAAGCTTTAGATAATTCAGTACGGTTATGGAGAGTACCAGGCAGACAAAAGAGAATAATGGACCTCAGATTAGAAAAGTAAGTCATCAACCAGGTCAGAACAAATTCTAGTAGGGAGAAGGGAGAAGGGAGAAGAAAAGGTAGCATAGCAATAGTGTCAGAGTGAGCAAGCTAAACACCTAAGGCCTTCTGTGTATGACATTTGTACATAAATATTTTTAGTCTTCTAAATAAATTATTTTTACTTTTTAAAAAAATAGAGTTTATACTATTTTTCATTCTTTTTTCATGCAATCTAGTCTTCACTGTGATTGTTTTACTGAAGAACCCATAGGGACTTTTCATTTTCAGACATTGTGCAGGTTTATCTTACTTGTGGTACTTTCTTACCAATCCCATTTCATGTTTGTCAGGCCAGCCTGCTTACCAACCTCCCAGCTTTTACTGCTGGGGACTTTGTGATTTTAGCCTGCTTGCATTGCATTGCCTTTACTCTTAGCTACATTGTTCTAGACCTCATAAGAATTTCTCCGTTTTCGTAACTCTTCCACCTTTAGAGTCTCAACTATATGGACATTACACTATAAATGTATTGACTTGGGCTTTATATGTTATATTTTGGAATAAGTTATACTGCAAGTTCTTAAAAAGGGAACTTTGTCTTATTCTATTCTACTCTTCTTTTGCATTAAGTGCAATTCACACACAGTAAATACAGTGCTAATTAGTTAATTTTTCAAAAGTTCTTATAGTTAGCTTTTTATTTTTTTACCTGTAGTTGGAAATAATGTTCAGACCTGTTTACATAGAACTTCTTTCATAACTCTTCTGAAATGTAATATGTCTCAATTACAGCATTTTGGTCTACTTCCTGATTTTTTTCCCTTTTAATTTCGTGTCATTACTCATGGTTACACAGAACTAAGCAAAGTCTGTATTTTCTTTAGTCTTTAGCTGTTTATATATGTGTATTTTGTCTGCTAATGTTCTGATTTTCAACTCTCTACCTCTGTTTTAGGTCTATGTATTGAACTCTTTTAACTGTGCCCAACTAAATACTAAATCTTAGTATTTAGTTAAACTTTTGTAATGCAAACTTCTCATATTCCTATAGCTTTCTTGGATTTAGTGTCCCAGTTTTAAGTAGAGTCACAAGAATATACTTTAATTTTATATTTTAAAGCAAGAAATGTTCAAAACATACTATTTTCCTACTATATCCTCTTGATTACTCTACTTATGATCAACATTATTGAGAGGCTTTCTTTTGTATTATACATTTACTAGAGGCCCGGTGCACAAAATTCGTGCATGGGTTGGGGGTGGAGTGTCCCTCAGCCTGGTCTGCGCCCTCTCACAATCTGGGACCCCTCAGGTAGAGTCCCTAGGCCTGGCCAGTGATCAGGGCCTATCAGGGGTTTCCTTCCCCCAGCTGCCAGCAGCTGGCCCAGCTCCCGCTGCTGCCACTGCATGCCATCTGTGCAGCGCTGCCCTCCCCTCCCCCACTACTGGTCGCCTCCCCCTGCAGGCAACAGACTGGAGTGCGATCACTTGGCTGGCCTGTGCCTCCCTCTGCATGGCAATCAATGGCCGGCCCCACACACCCGCCACGGCGTCGCTGGCCGGTGCCCTGGGCCTCCCTCTTTGGGCAATCAATCATGGGGCTCCTCTATCAATCGCCGAGCAGAGGGAGGCACCACCCACCCGGCTGGGGCTCTGCGATCGATTTGCCTCACAGAGGGTGACCTGGGTCTCCCTCTTTGGGGTGATCGTGGAGTCCCCAACCCCCGATCGATTGCCCGGCCAGCTGGTGGCCTGGGCCTCCCTCTTTGGGGCAATCGATCACGGAGCCCCCCCATTGATTGCCCCACAGAGTGGCCTGGGCCTCCCTCTGTGGGGCGATGGCGGGGCCCCCCAACCAATCACATCACACCCGCCTTGGCTGGCCTGGCGCCAGTGTTTGTCATAGCAAAATACTCCCCAACCCCCGATCGATTGCCCAGCCAGCTGGTGGCCTGGGCCTCCCTCTTTGAGGCAATCGATCACGGAGCCCCCCCATTGATTGCCCCACAGAGTGGCCTGGGCCTCCCTCTGTGGGGCGATGGCGGGGCCCCCCAACCAATCACATCACACCCGCCTTGGCTGGCCTGGCGCCAGTGTTTGTCATAGCAAAATACCACAAAATACCACTTGCGGGCGCGCACGTACAGTGCGATTGAAACTTCGTGGCCCATGCGCAAAAGTCGGTATTTTGTGGAAGAGCCAGTATTTTGTGGAAGATCCACACTCAAGGGGCCAAAGAGCCGCATGTGGCTTGCAAGCTGCAGTTTGCCGAGCCGCAGTTTGCCAACCACTGGTCTAGTGTACTACATTTAGAGAGGACATCAGCAAATACATTAAAATTTTAATGGAAATTATTCAAAACTGCTCAATCATATATTTGCTTAAGATTAATGTATTTAGAAATAGATGGCCATTATGTATTGCTACTAGCTATATTTGGAGTCCCATTATGTGTATTTGGAGTCCCATTAAAGAGAGTAGAAGTAAAATGTAGAAAAAAAGATTTTGAAGAAATAGTGACCATAGATTTTCTAAATTGTGTGAAAAAGTTATGGATCCAAGAAGCTCAGTGAACGCCAAGTAAGGCTAATGTAATGAAAACCATATCTGAGGACGTCATAGTCATAGCAGTGAAGTTCAGTAATGAGAGCAGACCTTGAAAAGAGCAGTCTTGGGAAAGAACACATTCTGCACAAGGTAAAAATTCTGCACAAGGTAAAAATGCTTTGAAGGATGGTTGATTTCTCATTTTTTTTTAAAGAAGTGTTGGGCAGAAGAGAATGAAATTGACACAATTAAAGTACTGAAAGAAAAACAACCAAAAATCCCTTTCAACTCAGAATTCTTTGAGGAAAGGTATCCTTCAAAAAAAATCAAGGTAAAATAAAAGACATTTCAGGCAGATTAACTCATTGCTATCAAATCTGCACGATAGAGCTAAGTTACTAACCAGCAGAGAGGAAGTTTTTCAGTCTGTAGGAAAATAATACCGGATGGTAGCTTGGATTTATAGGGAGAAAGGAAGTACATTGGACATGTTATGTACATAAATATATAAAAAACTATATTTTTTATTTTTATAAAGACATATACCTGTTTAAATAAAAAATATTATAATTATGCCAAAAGAAGGAAGGAGTGGAGAGAGAAACAAAAACAGATGGAACTAATATAAAACAAATAGCAAATTTTAGGCCTAAATACAGCTGTATCAGTAAGTACCACAAATGTAAATGGACTAATACTATAAGGTAGAGATTTTCAAACTAGATTTTTAAAAAAACAAGCTCAAACTTTATGTTGTTTACAAGAGACACTCTAAATACTGAGACACAGATGTTTTATAAGTAAAAGAAGGGAAAATAGTTAATGCAAATGCTGAGTAAATAAAATTCCAAGTGGCTATATTAGTATTAGACAAAAGGAACTTTAATATGTGTTACCAGAGGTAAAATGGGATATTTTGTAATAAAGCATTCAATTCATCAAGAAGATATTACAGTTAAAAGTATCTGTGTACCAAAATAACAGTTGTAAACTATATGACACAAAAATTGATAGAAATAAAAATATACATAAATTCATAGTCATACTTAGAGATTTAATGCCCCCCCCCCATCAGTAGAATAGTTTAAAAACAGTAAAATTAACTAAAATGAATAGACGAGCCACATCAAATATTGGCAAGAATGTAGAAAAACAAGAGCTTTCATACATTGCTTGGTGAAAATGTTAGACATTATAACCACTTTGGGAAAAGATTTGGCAGATTTTTATTAAGTTAAACACATCTACCTTTTTACCCAGTAATTCCTCCTTGGTGTTTATTTAAGAGAAATGGAAACATGTGTCTAGAAAAAGACTTGTTCAGGAGTGCTCATAGGAACTTTATTCATAATAGCCCAAAGCTAGAAATAACCCAGTTGTCCACCAACAAAGGAATTGATAAATTGTACTATTACTAAAATATCAAAAGGGACTAGTGATCTATCCTTCAACATGAACGAATCTTGTGGATTGTGGATTTTATGCTGAGTAAAAGAAAACTCAGTGCAAATTGGATGATTCCCTACATATAATGACAAATTCTAGTGAAAAAATTAGGATGTTTGTTGGAGGTGGAGGGGCAAAGGAAATTTGTTCTGAAAAGGAATATGAAGGAACATTATTATGGGGAACTAGAAATGTTATAATTCAATAGTATGTTTTACACAGGCATATCTGTCTTTCAAAGCCCATCAAATTATATACATTAAGATTTATTTATCTCAAGGTATGTCAGTTTTACCCCAAAATAATAGTTAAATATTGAACTCTTGTTTGTAGGTTTGGTTTTTCTTGATGGTATTAGGTTATCAATTCTAAAACTGCTTACTCTATATATCAGCGGTTCTCAACCTGTGAGTCGCGACCACCAGAAAACACATATAGCATATCAGATATTTACATTACGATTCATAACAGTAGCAAAATTACAGTTATGAAGTAGCAACGAAAATAATTTTATGGTTGGGGGTCACCACAACATGAGGAACTGTATTAAAGGGTCACGGCATTAGGAAGGTTGAGAACCACTGTGTATAGGATTAAGCAAATGAGTAAGTATATTAAGCGAGCCAGGTTTCTCACTTCTGGACAAAGAACTTAAAATATGGGATGGGAGAATACTACATTGTATTGTGTTGGATTGGAACTGGAAATGTCCATATTATGCTTTTAAATGTATTAGATAAATAGAGAAAAATGGATATATGTATGTAGATGGTGTATATATATGTATACTATAAATGTGTGTATATACAATATATGCATGCATTTGTGTGTATACAGCATGTATAATAGCTTTGTGTATACATGTAATGAGACAAAGTTCCTATGTCCCTATGCTGAAAGGTCCTGGAAGCAGTGATGCATCAGTAGAGTGAGCACCCCCAGTGTCTGATTTTGGGTTCTAAATACCATCTGTAGAAGGAGCCAGGATTCTTGTAGAAAGGACTGAGTCAGGGAAACTACTAAATGAAGTTGGACCTTAATTATTATGAAAGCCAAATTCCTCGTGATGATATTAACGGTTGAGTTGAAATGATAAAAATATTATGACTTTTTTTATTATTTTTTTATAGAGAGGAAGGGAAAGGAATAGAGAGTTAGAAACATCAATGAGAGAAAACATCGATCAGCTACCTCCTGCACACCATCCACTGGGGACGTGACCGCAACCTGGGTACATGCCCTTGAGTGGAATCAAACCTGGGATCCTTGAGTCCACAGGCCGACACTTTATCCACTGAGCCAGACCGGCCAGGGCAAAAATATTATGACCTCTTGTTTTACTGAGCCAAAAAAAGTACAGAAGTAGAATTTTTAAAAAATAGATTTTTATTGATTTCAGAGAGGAAGGAAGAGAGACAGAGAGATCGAAACATCAATGATGAGAGAGAATCATTGATTGGCTGCCTCCTGCATGCATCCTACTGGGGATCAAGCACACAACCCCTGCCATGTGTCTGGACCAGGAATCAAACCTGGGACCTCTTGATTGCTGGGTCAGTGCTCAACAGCTGAACCACAGGCTGGGCTATAGGATCTTTTTTATAATGGAGTATATAAGAGTATATTTTGATAAGGAAAGGGAAATTAAATATGGCACAAATTCAGTAATTTGGTGGGTTACTCTTTCAGTGTCTGTATACTAATCTGTAGCATCTAGAGAATCTAACATAAAATACTCAACTAAATATCTAGACTATATGCAATATTTGTACTCATTGGTGACTTGGTGGATCTTTACAAAAGGCAAAGTACAGCTGTTTTCAACATAATGAAACTGTTCTCTCAAACTAATGTACATACAGATCCTCTGGGGATCTTGTTACAATATAGATTGTGATGCAGGCTTGAAGATTCTAATTTCTAACAAGCTTCCAATTGATACTAGTACCACTGGTCCAGGAGTATCATAAAGGTCCATTAACTATATGAACTGAAAAATCACTAGTCCATTCAAAATTCTGACAGATTTTACTCTCATATTTTTTAAAACAATTTTTTTTCTTATTTTATGCATATAGCATAAACTTTAAAGTCAGGAAAGAAGAGGCAACTAGTGGGTTCTTCACTAATATTCTCAGTTCTCACAACAATCCCATGACTTACTATTTTCTACTTTTGGGAATTGAAATAAATGAGACTCAGAGCTGGTAAATAGTATGCTACAGGTTAAAAGTGAAGTTTGCCTGGCTATCTGTCTTAGTGTTTGTTTGCTTTAACCAGTACATCATGTTAGTTTTTTTAGATTTGTACAGATTTATTTTTTCCTCTAGTGAAAATAGTTCAATTTATTGTTATTTTTTATATTTAACTAGAGGCCTGGTGCATGAAATTCGTGCACTCAGGGAGTGGTACCTCAGCCTGGCCTGCACCCTCTCGCAGTCCCGGAGCCCTCGGGGGATGTCCAACTGATGGCTGGCAGTCAGACATTCTTAGCGCTGCCGCGGTGGCGGGAGAAGCCCACCACTGCCACTGCACTCATCAGCCATGAGCCTGGCTTCTGGCTGAGCGGTACTTCTCCCATGGGATTGGGCCGAAACTGGCTCTCCAACATCTCCCAAGGGGTCCTGGATTGTGAGAGGGTTGCAGGCCAGGCCAAGGGACCCCATCGATGCACAATCAGGGCCAGGGAGGGACGTAGGAGGTTGGCCAGTCCGAGGGCTCCAGGGCATGTCCGATCCATCTCACTTAGTCCCGATTGGCCGGACCCCACAGCAGGCTAACCTACTAGATGGAGCATTGCCCCCTGGTGGTCAGTGCACATTTTAGGGAGCGGTTGAGCGGCCTTAGCATATCATTAGCATATTATGGTTTGATTGATTGAACGGACAACTGGACACTTAGCATATTAAGCTTTTATTATATAGGATTTTATAATTCCGTCTAGCCTATTTCTCCCCTGTGCATATAAGTTGCAAGTTTTGCTCGAAGGATACTCACATATTTCCATTGCAGACCTTTTCTGAAATTCAGAACCATTAGACATGTGTTTTGAGGAAGATAGCTTTTTATTAAGCCTGTTGAGCCCTAGAAAGATGGTAGAACCCAGTGGTAACATTGAGAGTGTGCTGGACTCTTTCAGAGCTGTATAATGCAAAACTGGCTTTTACCTCAATAATATGTTATAAGTTATCATAAATGTATATTTTCGCTTGACTTTTTTACTGCAGTTTAATATCAATAAAAATATTTTTCTTTTTAGAATGTGAGACACAGAAAGTATGCAAGGTGGAAGGCAACATATATCCATAATTGTTTAAAGAATGGGGAGACTCCTCAAGCAGGGCCTGTTGGAATTGAAGATGATAATGGTATGTATTTATTTCTCTATGTAAAATGATTTAGTAGAATCATAATTTTTCAGTAGTATCTAAAGTTTTCTAAAGGGACCGTATAATTGTTTCTCCCATCAGGTCCAAAATTCATGAAAATTGGATATAAAATCATAAATTTGGGGCAGTGAGAGATTAGAACCAAACTCTTCTAATGTCCAAAAAGTTTTGTAAAATATATAGTATTTAATATAGTATTTACTAATTCTGTTTTTGTTTATTTGAAACTTTATTAAGCACATACACCTTTATAATTGTTTCTTTGGTTAATTGCCTAACCTTTGTATCATTATGAAATATCCTGTTTTATCTTTGTTAATATTCCTTGTCATGATTTTTATATTGTCTATTATTGAAAGTAGCACTTCAGCTTCTGTCTGCTTGGTATTTACATGGTATATCTATTTTCATCCTCCTCTTTTAAACATATATG